CCTCCCCCTTTTTAATATTTCTCAGAGTGTATCTTACAACAAGGTTAAAAGTTAGTTTCCTTTAGTAAACAAAGTTGTAAGGTAGATTCATGGGGATATTTAATTTAGGAATGAGAGAAGGTTCTAGAAACACAAGGTTCTATATCATTTGGGTCCTAAGAGAGCACAGTTGACTTACTGTTCTTGACAAGGTGTCTTTTGGAAAACAAACATTGTCTCTGTGGGCAACTGGGGCTCTACTAGTAGTACCTGATGTCTCCTTCCTGTCTCGGCAGGAAAAGCAGCGTGGGAGCTGAGCATCTTCCCTCACTCACATTTTTCTCCCCAAGTCACCACAATTCCATATTTGTCTACCCTGCCTTAAATTGAACAGCAGAGAGAAGACTTCAGCTCTAATTCTGTTGTTTAAAATTAGGCAAATAATCTTCTGAATCTGTTTTATCATTTTATCTCGGTCTGTCCATGATATTCAGTCATGAAAACTTTATTCTCTCTATCACCTACCTACCCTTTAATGTACCAAATATTTGTCTATCATCTCTTATTGGTCTACTTAGTATCAATGTATAATTTTATGAAGAATTAACCATAATTCATGGACTATGATGATAAACTATACATAGAAGTATGTTCCAAAGGCTGAAACTTCTATCATTTTAGTGATGAACAAACTTTTATCTGGAAAAAGAAGAGATTTCCCTGAGCTTATGCAGAAGGATAATGGGTGGAGCACTGAGTCTGCCTTCTTGATCCCCATCATGGAATACTGATCACTGCTTTGTCACAGTGAATGCAAGATAAAAATTCACCCTCATCTACTTATGGGCAACAAGGAGCTCAGAATTGATGTCTGTGCTTTGAGAGGTGAATTCTGGCTGTCATACTCTCAAGGGACACATACCTGACCCAGGCACTGTCATCTGCTGCTCTCTCCACCACGCCTGACTTAGAGACTGGAGGAACAGTACACAGAGTGGTGGGGATCCAGAACTTTAGAGTTGGACTGAGATCAACATCAGTCTAATCACACAGCACCAACCTAGTCTTCAACAAGCTGCTCAAACACTTTGTGCCTTAGTCTCAGATGCACAGAATGAGGATGAACATGGTGGGCATTGCAGGAGTGCCATGAGGGCTGAACCCTAAAGTCTACAGAACACTCAGACCCTGCCTAGATACTATGGCTTCATCATGTGCTAAAAGCCAAGAACTGCACTGAACTGCCATCATAGCACAGCCCTGCAGCCCCTTCTTCTGTTTCAAGGAACCTTCCACAGTGAAGGTTTTCCTTTTCCTTCGTGCCTTCCCAGGACTGCTCCATCTGGACCTTGGCATCTCTGATTCCTGATGACTTCACCCGCATCACTATTTCTTCATCTACTCAAGGAGCCACATGATCATATTCCAGGTCTGCATTAAAATTAGGACTACACAGAATCATGATCTCGCTGTGTCTCCTGGAGAGGTCTATTACGTCAGCTTGGCCTTGAGCTCCACCTTCAGCATTTGTCAACCTTCCTCAAGAGCGATGGCAATCATGGAAATTGCAGGAGAGCTTGTTGCCAGAAAAGAACCTTCCAGCAATAGACTTCACATACGCCAGACTTTGGCATCTGACTCAGATGAGGAAACATTCTTGTCATTAACGGAATGTTCATGTTCTGATGGGGTGTGGCGATGTGTACAAGACTCTTAACTCTTCCAGCTGTGGTTCCAGAGAGAGGTGACCAACAGATTCAAACGGGCAATCACAGACGAGAAGGAAGGTGATTCTATTGTGAAGACCATTGACTGTGCTTCCCTTTTTGTAAGTTTGTGGACGATACTGTTGGCCATCTTACTATGGAGCAGCCTTTCCATGATCATAAAATAAGGATAGGGACAGAGGTTTCCAGAATGTCAGTCAGGGATGGGAAATACTGTGGGTTGCTTCTCTGTAAGTCCCTTGGTCACACAGATGCCTTCGGCTTTGCTGATGGCACTTTTGGTCTCTTTATCTATTATAATGTTTTGAGACAGGGTATCATGTATCTCTCACTAGTCTTGAACCCACTATGTAATCGAGAATGACTTTGAACTCTTGATCCTCCTGCCTCCACTTCTCCTGTGATGGCAGCAGGTCAGGGATGCCAGGCAAACGCTATGTTAAGTAAGCTTCTGCATGTACCTTCATACCAAATACTTGACTGCTCTAGGAATTGGAGTCCCCTGCCTCGTCATTGCAAGCTATACTAATGTAATCTGCTGTTTCGTTGTTGTAAATGGAGATACAGTTTGTGTTCATTCATATGTATTTGAAAAATCTCAGGATTAGATGTCTCCGCTGTTTACTCCTCCAGAGAAAAACAAAGCGTGCCGGACTGGTTCATTTAGACAGTGATGAGAGCACAGGGAACAGTAAGACTCGAGCTTACGCCTCCAGTGATGCTTCAGCTTTCCACTGGAGAATGCGCCGTCCTTTCTTCCCACCCTTCAAACCTCCACCCCACTCCTGTGCCAGGCTCTACCTTTTCCCTCTCGTCCTCAACATTCTGCAGGACCTCTGTGCATGTACCTTCGACCTGTAGCATTGATGACAACCATTCACAGCGGAAGGAATGGGTCTGAGAGCTGCAATGACCATTACTGAACGTCTTAAAAATGCCCTGTGTTTGGAGTCGAAGTCCCTACTCGTCTGCTGCACGTGAAGTTCTTCTGCCTGGCAGTTTCTTCCTTCTCTGATAGGACCAGTATTTCTCCTCATCTGTTAAAGCATCCAAACTCACTCTGACCTGATGTCTGAGCTTGCTGTGGTGTAGGAGAGAGTTCAGGGATCTTCTATCATCCGGATGAAATGTCAGCTCATAGCTGCCTCCTAGACATCCAGGCCAAGCCTTCCCACCCTGTGGTTACTTCCCTTCCTTCTACCTGTCTCTTTGTTTACAGCGCACCACTGAACATGAGCTTTGTTCTTGTCATCAGCTCACACAGCAGCAGAGAATTTCACAGATTCAGTAACTGCAGAGGCTCGAACAGGTGTTTAATGTAAGTACCAAAAACAGTGTCTAGAATAGAAAGATTCCTCCTGGGATATTTCAGGAAATAAAGGCACTTGCCTCCAAGAATGATCACCCAAGTCTGATCCCAGGACACCCACATGGTGGAAGACAGTGGACTCCCACTCAAGTGTTCCTCTGACCTCCACAGGTGTACGCATGGCATGCACATCTCTCTCAAATAAGTGCAATTAAAAAGAAACGTTCCTCTGCTGCTGTTGAGTGAGGGGGTGGGTAACATGGTATATCATACCAAAAAAACATCTTTTGATAGAAGACAGTAAAGAGAACAAAAGTTCTTGTCCCTGCTGACAGCATCCTAACAGGACTTACACATGTGCATAATCAGAATGAGATGTTCATGGTGCTGTAAGTGATGGTTAAACACTCAGAAAGCCCATGTAAAAGAAACCCCAGTGCTCTCAGTAAATTTCCCACTGTGCGTTCTAGGCTGACTTAAGAATGTGGCGCAGTCCACATTCCCAGCCTTTGAGGATAGCAAACATAGGTATTTGTGGTCCCACAGTCATCAGTAGACCTCCTATAGATAAGTATTGTTTTAGAATACTAGAATTCACATACTTCTTCACAATTAGCACAAAAGAGAACTAGAATGGGCCAAAATTCTGTAATGAAGTTTGCTCAAATTCTGAAAGATGCTGGTGGTGTCAAACATCTCAAGTATGGTAAGGTTTTAATGTTGTAGATGTCCTAGTTTGCTTTCTATTGCTATGATAAACACCAAAGGTGATTTGGGGAGGAAAGGCTTTATTTGGCTGACAGACTACAGTCCATCATTGAGGAAATCATAGCATGAACTCGAGGCAGGAACCTGGAGGCAGGAACAGAAGTAGAGACCATGGGGGATGCTGCTTACTGGCTTGCTTCCTCCTGGTTTGCTGAACTGTTTTTCTTATAAGGTCCAGAACCACCTGCGGAGGGATGGTACCACCCACAGTGGACTGGGCCCTCCTACATCAATTAGTAAACTAGAAAGAGCTACACAGACGACCCACAAGCAGGTCTGAAGGAAACCATTTTTCAACTGAGGTTTCCTTTGCCCAGGTGACTCTAGTTTGACAAAAAGCACACCAGAGTTCCCAACCTTGCCTTTGAGTAGAATTAATTTCTTTCTTAAACTTACATAGGCCCAAATCAGCGTCCTCGGCGCCCCCTTTACCTCCCGGTTCCCGAGCGTGTAAATCAGAGGGTCAAGGAGTGGGGTGAAGACATTGTAGAAGAGGGGGAGGAACTCACCGCTCCCGGGCTGCGTGCACATGTAGATGGTGTTAGACCAGGTGGGGTGCGAGCCGCAGGTGTGGAAGGCCTTCTGCCCCAGGCCGAGTGGATCCGCAGCACCGCCCTCACGCTGTAGCTCAGGGGACCGAGACAAGCACCCGGGGGCACAGCGCGGTGCTACTGCGGGACGAACACAGTGCCCTCCCTGGTGGCCGCGTGGACGCAGGCGGTGCCTACTAGGGCCGGCGTCCCCCAGAGGGAGCGGCCCACCGTGCGGCGGGGTGAGCCGAGGGTCCCGGAGGACGCGGCTGAGGGGTTGGCCCGCCACGGCCCCGCGGACACGGGGGAACGCGGGGGTTTGCACTCGGCCACGGAGGCCGGCGGCGGGCACTCGGCGCCGGAGCAGGAAGAGCCGCAGCGGCCGATGGTCTCGTCCGGCCCTGAGGTTGTAGGGAGCTGCAGTCCAGTTGTAGGGAGCTGAGGTCCGGGAAGGAGGAAGGACATGGGGGCGCGGAGGTGCGGGTCCCCCCCACACCGGGACGGTCAGGGTGACCCCGAAGAGAGGCCTCTCCAGGCGGGACCTGTCGGAGAATGCACCGGCCGTGGGCGCCGCTGTGGGCTGAGTCCATCTCTGCCGCACCGAGAAGGCAGCGCACTGACCGGCGAGACTGGGGAGGGAGGGAGGGAGGGAGCTCCGCGTGCCAGCTGCGCGGTCCCTGTGCTGAGCACTGACTTACTATTTCCATCCACAGCGATATGGAGTCGGCAGTGCAGCTATCCCCACTCACCGACAAGGTAAACCGAGGCACGTGCAGGTCATAGGCACAAAGGGCAGAGCTGATTTTGAATGCAGGAATTTCATCCAAGCTCTGCGGCCGGAATTTCTGGTGTGACCTCTTAATTCCATGAAGTGGGAGATAAGCTGTTCCTGGGTCTAGCCTTTGATTCTTGTGAGAACCAGGCTCCTAAACTCCCTTCCAAACCCCCAAAGCACAAAACACCATCCCAAATAATCAACCAACAGTATTTAGAAAATGCCCAGCTCAATGGTCCAGTGACACACAGATGTAATTTAGATAAATATATTGGAATTTTTTCTGGAGATGTTCGATAATTTGATAATTCAAGGTGGAAAATGTTGCCTAGAAATCTCCAAAAAAGAGAAAGTTTGGAATGTTACACATATGTAAAGTATATTTAAATGATTTACATTTTATAATTTGCTAACAAAATATCCAAAAAAAAAGTCTGTTATAAAAAGTTTGTGAAGGGACTAGAGAGATGGCTCAGGAGTCAAGAGCACTGACTGCTCTTGGAGAGGACCCAGGTTCAATTCCCAGCACCCACATGGCACTTCCAAACTGTCCTTAACTCCAGTTCCAGGGGAATCTGAAGCCCTCTGCATGACATAGGCATACTCACATACATGCAGGCAATACACTCATACACAAAAAATAAAAATAAAATATTTTTTAAAAGTTTGTCAAGATTGACCCAAACACAGCCCACCCATGGTGCTGTTGGCCATGCAGAGATGGGTGAGTGTGGAAATAAATCCCTGAATCATCCCTGGGCCTAGTCACCTTTGCTTAGAGTTCTGCTGTGGTATTCATAGTCACCCCTGCTGCTATTGCTGTGGGCTGAAGTGTTTGGAGAACCCGCCCCAAATGACACTCACCTCCAACTTAATGGCTCACCTTCAGTGAGTGCTGTGTGGCAGCGAAAGGCGATCCTTTGGGATTCTTGTACATTTTCCACTCTGTAATATGTATAACACTCAGATTATGTGCTGTCCAGCTGTCGACGTCACCATCAAGGCTTCTAGAAGGAAGGTTAGCAGGCTGTCGGTAGTTAATCTGGAGTCAGAGACTTTGAAAAGATTTTCAACTCTGGGGGTGGAGGACAGCCGTAACATCCAGATTGTCCCAGGTTGTTCTAGGACTGGTTACGTGCTCAGAACCCTGTCCACCTGATTATTATTATTTTTGAGGTAACTTTAAATTTCCTGCGGAGAATAATAGCATATGAGAAATTATTAGTGAAAGAAAATGCATACAAGATCTCTTTCTTTTGAAATTAGGTCTAACACTGAAGAAATAGAGTATTTTCCTTTTTCCACAGTGCATAGGAAACTTGTTGATTAAAGAAAAAGTGAATAAAAGTGTTAATTATATTTATTTATTTGTGTGTGTGCATGTGTGTGAGTGTACCATTGTGTGCATGTGGAGGTCAGAGGACAGATGCAGGAGTTGGTTCTCGTCCTCCACCACGTGGGTCCCAAGAATTGAACTCAGGTTTCAGGCTTGACAGCAAGCTCCTTTACCCACCAAGCCAAATCACAACAGTTTGAAATAAATAATACAACTGTAATGTAATCATTGGCACACACGTGGAAAGTTGCAAGGCTCCAATTCCTTAAATGAATCACATTTGAAGAATGGTGTGTTTGTTGAGATAAACCACAAGGCTTACAAATTGTAGGAGTAAATTAAAAACAGCTCAGCTTGTAGCTCTGAACTTCTCTGTTATAATCCCTAAATGGAGATGATTAAACTTAGATATGTTAGAGATATCTTTAAAATATAAAATAGAGCAGAAGTTATGAGCTGGAGACAAGGGGATCAGGAGTTCAAGGTCACCCTCAGCTACATAGTGAATTCAAACGAGCCTGGAGTACATGAGACTCTGTCTCCTCCAAACATTTATGTGTGTGTGTATAGTGTATGTGTATGTGGTGTATACATATGCATATATATTTGCATACACATATATGTAAATATAAAAGTCTCCATGTACGTTGACTAAAGTCAATGTATCATATAAACCAAGAGTAAGAAAATAAGCCCAACAGATTAGGGACAGGTATTTTGAAAGAAAAGGCCACAAAAACAAAACATATTAGCATGTATCTAACCATACATTGAAAATATGGCAGTCAAAGCATAACTTCTTAGATGGTGATGATCACCTACAATACCAGCTCTTGGGAGGCAGAGGCAGAAAGATTTCTGGTTCAAAGCCGGGCTGGCTTTTAAATTAAAAAACAAAACAAAACAAAACAAAAAAACAGAAAAACCCTGCTTCTGCAACAGGAAATGGAGAAAGCGGAGGCCTCAGGTGCCCATCCTGCCAGGAAAGTCAGCAGCTGAACTGTCTCATGGTTAAACCAAGCATGCTGTTTACTGGCTTCTGTTCCATGATTTCTATGAAAGTGTTGCCTGCTACAGGAAGGCAGAGGGAACCTGGAAGTCTCTCTGTCCCAGGTTTGGTCAGACTGTAAGCAAATCCGTTTCCTTTACCAATTTCTGATCCCTAACTTCTTTGGAACACAGGAAAGCTTGTGGCAGGTCCATGTACCTCAGTGCCCTGCACCAGTGCTGTCTAAGCTTAGAAAGTTATGGGACAGGAGCCTGCATTCATACGCCCTAATGGGTGTTAAAGTTGGAATGGTATTTTTGGAGTGCTCACTACTTCTTTGTACATATACCTTGATATTGTTCGTGTTATTTTAGCAAAAGAAGAATCTTTCTTTCATAAAAGTTTAAAATAATGTTTTTGTCTTGCCCCATTAACCCCATGTTTCAGAATCTGCCCTGTATTCATTGATCCTCAGTGAACGCATATGCTCAAAACTTGTTTTCATAGCCTTCAAAGGAACAGATAATACTGGAAACAACATATATGTTTATAGTTAATAGTTCACAAACATTTTGGTGACCAGAGATGCTAGGTCTGTTGATCATGAAGAACAGGAGAAAACCAGGTGACTTCTGTTGTTTGCCCTTTTCCCTGACCACAAGCAAGAAGTGGAGCTGGAGTTCTGGAAGCCTGGGTCTCAGATAAAAGGATGCAGCTCTGGAGCCCCCACAGTCCATGAGAGCACGCTCTCAAAACAAGCCTTTGCTGACTTTTGCCTCTAGAGTTCGGGGCTCTGATACTGCTGCCTGGCCCCCACAGAGTCAACTCTGCTGACAACCAAACCCCAGGTGTTAAGGTTCTGTCTATAAAACACACCTACTGTCACCAGGGTCCTAAATAAAAGAATAAACTGTCTCCAGGAAACCCCACGTTGTGGTAAGCATAAAATAGAAACCCCAGTGCCAGAGAGGAAACTCCTCTCTCAGGAAAAAGCTAATCTCCCAGCTCCCAGGACTTATCTCACAGCTGAGTCTGTACTAACCTTCCTGCCTGTACTTTATCTTTCCTGTGCATTGTAAGACTGTTACAGGCACCGTGGGGAGAAAGTTTTTCTTTTGACCTAAACTGCAAATAAACTGACTTCCGTTGACTTGTTCCTGTCTCCCATTAAAATACTATTATTGATTCAAGAATTTCATACAATGTATTTTGATCATCTTCAGACCACCCCCCACTCCTGCCTTACTATCTGCCACCACCCACAAAAGTTCCCGTCCTCTATTTTTTTTTTCTCTTCTTAAGGACTATCAACTGTGTTTCCCAAGTGCTCCTAGGTGCAGGTCTATCCCTTGGAGTCTGGTCAACCTACCAGGTATCACACCTCCTCCTTCTCCCAGCATCTATCGGTTGCCAGTGGATCCTCAGCTAGGGCTGGGGATTCCTGCCCACCTCCCCCATGTGTGTTGGGCCCCTGTCTGGTTTGCACAGGTCTTGTGCATGCTGTCATAAGCACTGTGGGTCTCACTTCTTTTTTGGTAAAGTGGGGTCCAGTGGACCTAAGTCCATGGCTACCTACCTTGGAATTTCCTCAGCATCTCCCTCATCCCAGGGATGCAGCACACAGTCTTCAGTTCCAAGGGGATGGCCTCTAGCGCCAGCCTCGTGATAGCCTAGCTTCTGGAAGCAAGCAGAGCCCCAAGGTGTCAGCGTGATTGGCATGGCCTCCGTCCCCTACCCCTCCCTGCTTCACCGACTCAGAAAGGAAGCATACCTGGTCAAGGCTCCTCTGACCCCCTGGAGAGGAAGCACACAGGTGAATCAGACCTCTGAACTGCCTTCTGAATTCTAGCCTGTAAAGATGTCCTAGAAATTACTGGAAATTGCTAACAACTAAAGTAAAACTGAAGGGGACAGTGAATTTCTGCTCTTTACAGTAAAAAACAAGCGTTAAACTCTGATGAGTCTCATCAATTAAGTCAGTCACAGAGTAGAGTCACACTGCACAAAGTTTAGGTACATTTCCCTGAAATATCAACTTAACTACTTTCTGAATTGACAATTCTAGCAATTG